GATGCTACGTGTTTAAGCTGCACTAAAAGGAGATTTTCAGGTTAAGACAAGGCTGATAGAAAGACTGAAGCAGAGAAGGCTGAGAGTAGGACAGCAGAGGACCACCATGCCTTCCTCTTCCTCCTCCTCCTCCTACCAACAGCTCCCTGGGGCCCTGGGGCCTTTGGAAGCAACCATCTCCTCCATCCCCTCCTTCTCTTGTTCCAGTTCCTCGCTGCACCCCCCTCCTCCACGGGGCCGTCGCCCCCGCAGGGTCCTGTACCCGGCCTCTCGGAGCAGGAAGCCCCCGCAGAGGGAGGCCCCGGACCAGGCACACCGCTGGCTGCTGCTCCTCTCTGCTCTGCTCTTCCTGCAGATCTACTCTGAGGAGACGCTCACCTGCACAGGTATTTATAGGCTCACACCTCATCTGCAAAATACTTATTTCCTTTTTTCCTTTTTTTATTGAGTGATTACAGGACAAGTGAAGACAAGTCAGGGTCACATATACAGTGAGAGAGAGAATTTACAAAGTGAAGCAAATGACAAAATACCAAGCGGGGCATAGACTTATATATTTGTGAATTGTGTGCAAATAAAATAGAAAATAATAATAATAATATAGAAAAATATGTTCATTGACTGTAATAGGGTTTAAAGAAGCCCTATGATGTTTTGTTAACATTGTGACATCACTATAGTATGTACTGTACCTCTATTGGCTAGTGCTCCAAAACATTGTACCTAAAAGGCTAAGGGGCGGGACATCTCCAAGCGGTTGACCAATCACAACAGCACTAACCAATCACAGCAGACTGGGCTCTGGTTTCAGACAGAGGGTGAAAAGAGGTGCTGCAGCACAGGCAGTATGATACAAATAAAGAGCTTTTTGAACATTAAAGCATGGAGACATTTCACAGTTTAACACTAGAACCGCCAGAGGTCGCTGTATACCTAAAACCGCCAACGGGTCAAATTACCCGCTGTTGATTTTCAAGGTACAATGTTCTTTTATTTATCATGTAGAACAGTGAGTTTTGATCGCACAGGGATGATATTTATACCAATATAATCTGTGGACTCTCAGCTTTTCATATGATATCGTTTGTGCAGATAGCATGAAGTATAAAATATCGCTACCAGTGCTGATTTAAACGCTTGGTGTTAGACTTGTGTTTTGTTTAGGTACACATCTCTCTATCTCTCTATCTATCTATAACTATCTATAACTATCTATCTATCTATCTATCTATCTATCTATCTATCTATCTATCTATCTATCTATCTATCTCTCTCTCAATCTAGCTCTCTATCTATAACTATGACGTCAGAGAATTTTCAAATCTGGATCAGTTTTTATCAGATCCGTTGCAGCCCCGTTTTTAGAGATTTGGGTATGGAGGAAAAGAGAGAGGGTTGTGTTTTCTGACACTTGGTGAGTTCACTGACACACCGGGGACACATATTCATGTATACAAGACGTACAAAAGTGCATTTTGCATGATAGGTCCCCTTTAAATGTAAATTAGCCTGGTTTAGTCAAAGAAAAATTCCATTTTTTTAATAGTCACAAATTTGAGATTTGTTTAAGTTAAAAGAATGAAGTCCGACCAGTTTCTTGTCCCTCAAACAATAAAACAGAACATTTTGTTAACTTTTGTATCTGTAAATGCTTAACTTTCTTTGTGTAATTTCAGAGCTCCAGGGCCAGTGTCCAGACACGGCAGTGCCTCAGCCCCAGGAGGGGGAGGGGAGCCTGGGCACAGGGCAGGGATGGGGCGGAGAGGAGCCCTGGAGGGTCCAGATGAGGGGTGGAGTTTCAGAGACTCAGCCGGAGTGTGTGGTGGCGTGAAGGAAGAGCAAGTCATTTTCAATCAGCCCATCTTTTTTTCTCCAAAGACTCTTAATGCACATAGAGCAATGAGAAAAACCAAGAGGCTGACACAGATACTAAAGACAATGTTAGTCAATGATATAAAGATGACATTTCTTCTTCTTAAATAAATGTCAAGGGTTGCAAAAAAAAAGGTTGCAATGGAAGTTACTTCTGACCTTTGACTTTTGCGCATCTGGGGGCCTTAAACCTGCATTCTTAGACATGGCCAGTAGGGGGCGACTCCTCTAGTTGCAGAAAGAAGTCAGGAAATGTCACTATACTTCTCACTTGGTTTATTATCTCAGTATGTATTATACCTAACATGTTTATGGCTGATGGTCCATTTCCTATACACAGTCTATGGTTTCTTGCAATGATGCTGATTTAGAACGAGGCCATGCTCATTTTTTATTAAGTTACTCCCTGGAGAAAACACGTAAAGTGAAGAGTGATGTGTGAATTCTTTGAAAAGACTGAATGTAAAGCTGTTGACATTTTTTTTTCATTGTCTTTATTCGTTTTCCACATTTACAAGCACATTATTCATACTTACTGTACAATCATAATAATAATAAATTATAGAATAAAAAACGGAAATAAGTTGTGAATAAAAAAAACAAGTTTAACTGTGGAAGACAAGTTTGCAGGATGTTTCGTGAATATGAACACGGTTTAATATCTTGAATTTTATTAAATTGTAAAGAATCAAATGAATCAGTCATGAGTAGTTGAAAGTACTGTACTTAAGTACAATTTTGCAGAACTTGTTTGAGTATTTTCCTCTAATTCTTCTTTATTCGTCTACTCTTGTACATTTCAGAGGGAAATACAGTACAGTACAAATTTCGTTAAAAGTCACTATAATGATTAAGATTTTACACACAAGACATATATTATATATAAAATATCAATTGCATATTGCTAAGTTGTAAAAAATGAAACCTCATGACCTAGAGAAAACAGCTTTAACATTAATGCATTAGTAAGGATAATGATATTAAGATGAAAACTCCATTCAACCTGAGGAGAATAAATTCACATCATTTCAATACAAAATAAAAGAAATAGTGCAAATAAAAGTACAACATGATAAAAATAAGGTCCAAACCCAAAACATATACAATGCAACAATCAGTTATTGATGATAACATATACTGTAAACATTATAGAGTAAAAATTATATTTTGTCACTGATTTTTCTGGAGTACTTTTACTACTCTTAATTGTATGGTCCTGATCATACTTACAATTTGAAATTATACTAAAAGGGGCTCTATTATACTCATATTCTTCTACTGTGACATGTCTCCATGCTTTAATGTTCAAAAATATCCCTCTGGAAGGAACACAGGGATTTTAGCCTTTGAAGACCATTTACATGCACACAAACCACACAACACACTACAGGAAAGGTAACAAAAATAAGCATATGGTCCTCTATAGTATTCATACACAGTACTTATGATAGGATTTGTTTATCTCAACTTTTATTTTGGTAGAGAATGTGAAAACTTATCCAGCACTGGTCCTACGGTGGCCGGCAGGTGCAAACGCGGAACAACGGCCAAAAGCGCATACATAAGCAGGAAACAGCTGCAAATAATTAAATAAAAAACATGCAAACCCCGAAAACAAACGCAACAAAAAAACGCTGCAAATACAAAAACAATATGCAAAGTCAAAAACACATACAAACCCAAAAACACACAGTGCTCCAGGCCTCTAGGGGGCGCGCTACGTGGAACAGATTGATGTCTGACCAGACATAGAGAGAACGAACGAGAGTGATGGAAATTGAAGCCGGAGGGAAGGAAGGTGATTGAAGTGGACAAAGTCAATATATAAGAAGGTCAGTTTTGTTTTGTTGTTATACAAAGAGCGTCATATTTACGCAGCTAGCATTAGCGTTAGTGATGGGAATTCCGGCTCTTCTTGGTGAGCCGGATCATTTGGCTCGGCTCACCAAGAAGAGCCGGCTCTTTCGGCTCCCAAACGGCTCTTCAGTTTACCACATATTATACCTTTTATAATTCAATCAAATGTAGCCTTGTTTTGACTAATGATTTATATGTGTACACATATCACTTAAATTATTCAATACATCCTTTGTACTGAAGTATTCAAAAGTAAAAATGACATGTTTAATATCAATTATTTGCTGTGGCCAATTGTTTTCATTGCATTTACAGACCCTTGTATCTCTCTGATACCACCCAATGAATGCACAGACTTGCTTGTCGAACCACGCTACACAAAGCAGATAGCAACACCTATAACAAAACCCGAGGTGACAGGGCTTTCAGTGTTGCAGCTCCTAGACTGTGGAACAGCCTCCCAGTACATATCCGGACTGCTGAGTCTATTGAACTTTTTAAATCTCAGCTAAAAACTCACCTCTTTGCACTGGCTTTTAATACTAGTTGAACATTACATTTTTACATTTGTATGTGTTTTTTTAAAAATATTTTTCTAGTTATTGTGCTTTTTATCATGTTTTTAATTATTGTTTTATTATTGTACTCCCATTGTGTTATTTAATATGTATTGCCTGTACAGCACTTTGGTCAACTGAAGGTTGTTTTAAATGTGCTATATAAATAAATAAAGATTGAGATTGAGATAAAAACTTAAGCATAGACATTTTAAAAAATGGGCTACTCTATCGACATTTTAAAATTATATTTAAAGAAAAGGCCCTGACTAAACAGCAGGGCTCTATTTCAGTATTAACTATAGAAAAAAAGACAGCAACAGCTGACATCAAATCTTTGCCGAGCCCAAGGATAATCATAAATAAATAACATAGTGAAAATAAATATATTGCAATGCTCAGTACAGCAGCATCCAACCGTCTCTAATCATAAAAAAACATAATAAAAATAAATGTATTGCAATGCTCAAAACAGCAGCATCCAACAGTCTCTAATCCTTGGATATTACATGTCACTGCATGCATGCACGGAGCAGCTGTAGCGCGGAGATCATCATATCATTCTGTCTTGTATTACTTAACAACAACAAAATAACAAAAAAAAACGGCTCGTTCGCGGGCGCGAGCCGGCTCCCGTCGTTCACTTAAAAGAGCCGGCTCTTTGAGCCGGCTCGTTCGCGACCGACACATCACTAATTAGCGTGCCTACAGTAACTACTACACCAGCTGAGGAGAGGAGAGCTTCACCTGAAGAGAAGATAAAGTGAGGGAAGAACATTGTTAAAAGAGATGACGAATGGAGTGCAGGTAAATAACACGGGCCATAGTGAGTACCGCGGAAACATTTGAAGAGAGAGAGAGAGACATTCTTAGCAGTTTGTTTATATGTATGTATTTGCGTATAGATGTTGCAACTATACAGAGCTTTAGCAATACTATAAGTAACTATGGTCGGTGGAGAAGTGATAAAATGTGAAGAGGGACAAAGTAATGACAGGAGAGTAGTGTGCATTAGACATGCTCAAGAACAAATATAGAGAAGACATTCAAGGAGAGAGAGAGAGACAAAACACAGATTCAACGGTAAACATGATGCATCTTTCTATTTATTTAGCTAACCACTATTTAGACTGTGTGTTTTTGATTGACTTGATTAAATGGATTTACTACATCAATGTATGTCTTTTCAGGCTGCCATGTTGTGTCCTTTCTGTGGCCAACATCTGGGGACAGTTCAAGTGTTCTGTACAGTTTTTGGCAGAAGTTGAACACAACAGTAAGTTCACTTTTGTATGTATTGTATCTGTTTCAAATGCAAGAAATAAGGATTCAACACACTACTCTGTTTAGAATACTAATTGGCAGATGCATACACTAGTTATCAGCATGAAGGACTCATTTGCGGCTTTCACACCAGCGCTTTTCCCTTTCTAGCTCCTAGCGAGAGCTTTTCTGGTTCAGCTCCGGTTTCCCTTTTCAGCTCCCGCTCTGTTCACACCGCCCAGAGCTGCCGAGAGATTTTCTCCCACAACAACAACGGGCCGGGGACTGCGTCGGGTCGACGATCGTGTTGCTTTTAATCATACGAAGCCAGATTAAATTAAATAACGACTTCTCCAACCTTATACTTTTCTCCAGAGTGCCGTGGTTCATTGTTTATTAATGTGTTTCAGCGGCATTTACCGACCGCTGCAGTGCTGGCCGCTCTTCCACGGGAGTTTATTCTCCCGTTAGCTCCGGGTTAGCTCACACGGCTCTAAAGTATTCACTGTCTTGACTGTCACACAAGCAGCTGATACATATCCCCAGTTCCCCTTAAGTGAATGTGTGTCAGTCTGAATTGACGCTGTTTGGCATCACAACGCTGTTATGAAAGTTTCTCTGGTATAACATGGGTGATGTTAGCATAGCAACCGAAGCTAAACTGACTACATGCTAAGCCGTTTTCTACAGGCACATTTTACCGGCGTATTTTTCATTATGATTCTACTTGTGATAGTCGGACATGACAACCTGTGCAGCCCATGTATTGATTCCATCCGATAGCTGCTATAATAACAAACAAAACGTCTGCCTGCTCTCCACAATGATCAATAACAGCGAACGGATGGTCAAAGTAAGGTTTCCTGCACGCCTCGACGTAAGCGACGCCGCGTCATAGCTCCAAAGCTCTTGCCTCTGGACCGACAACTTTTTGGAGCTGGAAGTGAACCGCATTCCGGAGCTATGACGCGCCGCCGCTGCGGTGTGAACAGGAAAAACCGGCGCTTTTCAGGCTCTAGCTCCCAGCAGGAGCTGGAAAAGCGCCGGTGTGAAAGGGGCAATTGTCTGTTTATGTGAAATATGTAGAAGCCATCATTAAATTGTAGACCAATGCATAATTAAATACACAAAACAGCTTATATTATACATGAATAATTGTGTATTAGTTCTATCTTTATAGAGAAAATTATACATTTAGAATCAGATTTTGAGACAGTGAGCGGCTGGGAAAGTCACACCGCCATGGGGCACACACAGTTGCTATGACAGTTTCTTCGCATTCTCAGGCATTCCATAAGGAGGGTCAGGAACTCACGCTTGGGACCACAAGTGTCCACTCCATCCTCAGTTTGTCCCTCATCCTCAGTGAACTTAACTGACATCTCATGAGAGGGGTCGAATGAGGCACCTTTGAAGCCGCGGATTGCTCCATCTCACACATTGGCTCTATTAATATTGAACCTGCTGCAAGATGTATTTGTTATTTTTGCAGAGAGTTCTGCATCAATGTCCTCCGCAGTCAGGTATTCAATTCAATCTTTATTTCAGACTCAAGGTCCATATCACATACAAAATGACATACAAGATACACATCAATAAATGAGATTAAAAAGCTAAACAAAAAACAAAAAAACAAACAGATAAAAAACATAAAATCAGTCCAGTTACAGCTAGCCACACACAGCCTCACTGTCTGTGGAGGCTATTGCGCCAATGTCTCCAAATTATGGAAGAGAACCAAGTAGAACTCTTCACAGGGTTAATTAAAATCGAGATAACATGATTGTCAGATTCTTCTAGGCGAAACATGAATTTGTAGATTACATTTCTTAAAAGGGCTTGACAGGTAGGTACCCCCAAGTTAACAAACAGCTGGCTGGCACTGTGCCATCTTGGTACCCTCACCAGCAACCGTAAAGCATCATTGTATGCAACTTTTAGTTTTTGCATGCTTCTAGCCTTGTAGTTACTCTACAGGTGAGCCGTGTACAATGGTGTACAGAAAGCTTTAAAAAGTGATACCTTGACATCTACAGAGCACAGTTTGCAGCGTTGTCTATGGATGTCTTTGTCATCTGAGAGATCATCAGAGATATAATGACCAAGGTACTTCATCTCATTGCACACAAGAAGAATGTTGCTACTGAGAATACAATTAGGAAATACAGCCTTTTTATCCTCAATCATGATGCTACTCTTCTTGGCGTTATACTTAATATTAAAATCAATGCCATACTGGGAACAAATCCTCAGAAGCTGTTGTAAGCCTGCACTGTACGGGGAAAAGATGATTAAATCATCTGCATACATAAGGTGGTTGACAACAGTAGCACCGATGACACAGCCAGTTTTACACAGGTTCAGTTTCCTAGACAGATCCTCCATGTACAGATTGAACAACAAAGGAGATCAAATCCCACCTTGCTTGACCCCATTACCAACATACAAATGTTCAGACACAGTATTGCCCCCACTTCACCTGCATAGTCTGATGTGCATACCAGACGGCTAAGATCCTTATTATGTACTTGGGTACCCCTCTCTGGCACATTTTGTCAAATAATTTGAAATGATTCAGTCTATCAAATGCCCTGGAAGCATCAATAAAACACAGAAACATGGTGGAATTATGGCTTCTATATTTTGCTATAATGTCTTTTAAAGCAAAAATACACATATCTGTGCCGTGTTTTCTTTTAAAACCAAACTGGTTGTCAGCTGTGGTAATATACCTTTCCAGCCTATCCAACAGAATTCTCTCCAACACTTTGGAGAGAATGCTATAAGCAATGGGTCTGTAATTATCAATGCCATTAATCTCCCCAGCTTTATCCTTGATGACTGGCACAAGTAGCACAGATAACATGGAAACTGGTAAGACACCATGATTAAGTAAACCAGTAAGACACAGAGCAAGAAGAGGAGCAAGCTTAAGACTGGCATATTTGAAGTGTTCAGCTGAGATGACATCCGGGCCACAAGCTTTGTTATTTTCTAGATTCATTATAGTGTTGTAGACTTCCTCTGATCTAACTGTAACGTTTTCAGTGGCGTCAACCTTTTCAACCACAAATGCATCACTCTTAACACAGTTGAACAACTCATGATAGTGTTGTCGCCACAGTTCTGCGATGTTGCCTGACCCACACACTGGAAGACGGTAAGGGAGTCTTACAGCTGTTTATGACTTTGGCCTCTTTCCAGAAATCATAGCAACTATTGTTGCGCAGCTTTCTGGCAAGTGAGTCAGCCCTCATTGTGTCCTCATTTTCAGTCTCGGCCTTCCTGATTCTGCCCACAATTTAAAAGCATCTCTAGCAGCAGTGTGTAGCTCAGTCACATGTTCATTCCATCCAGGTTTTATACCATGCTCCTTTTTCTTACTGTTGTAAAAACCCTTACTTGAGGCATTTAACACATCAATAATAAGATCATATGTAAAACATAGATCTCTACCATGTTGCTCATTTTTACAGTTGGTGTCACTACAGCATTGCTTCTCTTGGAATTACAACCAAGTCTAATGATTAGTCAGTGAGTGAGGTAAAGTGATTCATATCCTTCTCACTTAACTTTGACCAATCCAGCCTCCCTGTGTGTGTTTTATTGTCATCAACAGATAGCACCGGAATATTTTCAACATTTAGGGTCAATACAAAAGGAATATAATCTGTAGTGGCCAACTCATAACAGATGTCAATGTTGTCCTGAGAAGCGTGTGCATCAGCTGTGCATATACAGTGATCTAGCCATGACACAGTATGCCATGCTTCACTAATATATGTAAAGCTTTTCTCAGGTAGTAGTGATTTACTTGACAGTATGATATTATTATCATTACAAAAATGCAGTAAACATTTGCCAAACAGAGACATCATCCGAAATGTCAGCATTCAAGTCACCCACTACATACACACAGGTTGTGGCATTATCCTTAATGAATGCATTAACAAATGCCATTCTATTGCGATATTCATCTTCATATGATTCATAAGGTGTGTAAATATTTACGATAATAAATGACCTATTTTCATACTTGATCTCTATACCAATGGCCCAGTCGACGTCCAATCTTACCACTGTAACCAAAGGATCATATTTACTGTTCCAGAGAATCGCCACACCACCCGGTATCCTACCATGGGCTATTTTATCACGGAGATCAGTAGTTGACTCTCCAACTCCATGAAAATTAGCATGTAGTGTATTCAGCCTTTCCAGATCTTGCTTGGGTAACCATGTCTCTTGTAAGCACAGAATATCACATTCCTCCAACAGTTTATCAACAACCAGCCGCCTCGCTTATATCCCCAGCACTGTGCCCCACACGTAGGCCACGCGTGTTATATGACACCACCCGCATCCTATTATGTATGTACTACAGTCATTTACATCAGCAGATGCATGATTCCCGTACACGTGTACAGGAGCGACCACATTGTTTGTAGCAGTGCTATCACCCGCAAGTGACCCACTAGCAGGCCGTCTTGGCTCATAATAGCGTCGGACATAGGTGCCAGCTGGCCACAGCTCTGGGTCATACATTTCTGCCACTTCCTTGCATTCGGCAGTGATGTGAAATGAGCTGAACCTACTCTGTGCCGACTCAATCTTCCGACAAGTAACTGCTCGGCCAAGTTTCTCTCTCAGATACTCAGTTAGCATGTTAGCTTCCAGTTGAGTGGCACACTTAGTGGCAAACGCACTCACCATCTTTGTGATCACAACTTGTACGTTAGAACTCACTGGGCCAGTTCCAACTATACCCGTCTTCTTCCTCTCCCGTTTCAGTGGCGCTTGCATTGTATTCTGTGCTGGGAAAGACAAAGTGATGTATTGTAATATTAAATGATGAAGCTAGTAATAAGATTTACAGTATAGAATAGAAAAATGAAGTGGTAATAGTAACAATTAATACCTTTCCTCTGCAGTTTGCTCCATTTTGTCTTCTGGCTCAGACTGGCTATCAATAATGATAGGTGCATAAACATTTGTGTAGTTGCTGCAGTGAGAAGACAGTTGAATAATTACTTTCAAATACATAATATATGCATGACAGTCATATTTACAAAAGGATGTCGATCCTCTTCCTGTTTTTTTTTTAATACATTGGGTTCTAAACTGACAACAGCACTTTTGTCCTACTCCTGCACAATCCTTGTAAACATTTGAAATGGATGCAAGAAACAATATCTGATCTTTGAAACATATTTGTGGGTGTTTTTTGTATCGTCTTCACTAAGATGTAAGATGTTGTGGGTGTCATTTGGAAATGTATAAAAGTATAATTGTTCTGCTTCCTGGCAATGTTACCCACTGTGATTGGAGGCTATACAAACAAACAAAGGTAAAAATAAAGATACACACCAAACAACTGTGTCACGATGCAACTGTCAACATCGTTTACTTATAGAAGTTGTTCTGACCCGGGGCAGACTGGACCTCTTCCTGGACTGGGGTTGGTGCTCCATCCTATCCCAGGAAATAAGTGCAGTTGATCTAATGACAGTGTCATTAGCACACAAAGGTATTTATTGATTTCATGTTCACAAATTCAAACCTACATGGTATAATTACATTTTTAATTAGTCTCACCCGATCAGACGCTGGTTGTGGGTGCCTGAGAGGTCTGATAAAGGTAAACACAAAATATATTCAAACTACAGTTAAAACATTCTGCTTCTTGTGACACAACATAATATGTTGACAATGTTTTATTTTACCCAGGCAAACTGTTGTCCATTCTGGGAGTGCTCACTTTTGGAACATTTGGAATGTCCCACACCTGCATACACACAAATGACTGACTGAAATAAAATAAATTCACTTCAATTAAGAATAAATGCCACGATAAATCCAAACTGACCAAGGTACATTATATTGTTGACCGTCCTTTAACTCTCACATTAGGATTTACATTTGGGCACAATAAACCAACTTCTCTCTGCACCTATAATATATCTATATGATGTCAAGAGTTACATTTAGGTGCACAATGCTGTCTCTTGACTTGTAAGCTCTTTTACCAAACAAGCTAACGCTAGCTGGGTAAATATGACGCTCTTTGAATAAAAACAAAACAAAACGTACCTTCTTACTTTGTCCACTTCGATCAACTTTGTTTCCTCCGGCTTCAATTTCCATCACTCTCGTTCGTTCTCTCTATGTCTGGTCAGACATCAATCTGTTCCACGTAACGCGCCCCCTAGAGGCCTGGAGCACTGTGTGTTTTTGGGTTTGCATGTGTTTTGGGGTTTGTATGTGTTTTTGACTTTGCATATTGTTTTTGTGTTCGCAGCGTTTGTTTTCGGGGTTTGTGTGTTGTATTTAGTTTGCATCATTTCTGTAAATGCAGCGTTTTTTTGTTGTATTTGTTTTCAGGGTTTGTTTGTTTTTCATTTAATTATTTGCAGGTGTTTCCTGCTTATGTATGCGTTTTTGGCCGTTGTTCCGCGTTTGCACCTGCCGGCCACCGTAGGTTTGCAATGTAAACTCTGCAAATTCAAATAATGATCAGTTTTTGGTTCAACCTGCTTTTTGAAACCCAACAGCACCAACTTCTTCATAAACCAAGCAACAGTCTGATGTTTCCTGGGTAGTCCGTGTGTGTGTGTGTGTGTGTGTGTGTGTGTGTGTGTGTGTGTGTGTGTGTGTGTGTGTGTGTGTGTGTGTGTGTGTGTGTGTGTGTGTGTGTGTGTGTGTGTGTGTGTGTGTGTGTGTGTGTGTGTGTGTGGGAGGTTGTGTTTATTTTTGACAGTGACTCAGAGGGCCGAGGTTATCCCTCAGTCAGTGGGGGCGGGCTGTGAGAGCAAACAAATCTCAAACTGTCAGGGTGAATCTTGAACTGGCTGGTATCACTGTGTGAGAAAGTGTGTGTGTCTGTACATGTCTCAATATGTGAATGTGTGTGCAGTACCAGCTGACTAGACTGATGTGGTTTCAATGCCTTTAAAATACTGTTTATATCATGTGTAGTCATATAAAATACTACTTTTAAAAATACTTATTCTTCATTGAAATGCATGTATCATCAAAGAAACAAGATAAGAGCTAGGAAAATACTAAAACACAATAGATAACATTAAATTAAAGGATGTACAATGTCACTGCAACACAGAAAACCTAATTAAAGTATGAAATATTGAAATCGAAAAAGATAATTAATGTTTATTTAAGACATTGATTTAGGTATGAATAAAATACATTTTTTTTCACAATATAGCAAATCCAATAACTTATCTATATGTTATAATTAATTAGATACTTATAATTCTTAACATAATTAAGGCTTATATATTGTATACAGAAAATCAGGAATGTTACAAATTAAGAAAAATAAGTGTAGAGCTGACATTACTTCTGTTAGTGTCAGGTATTAATGTAAAACCTGAAGAATCAAGTCAAAGTTAGCTTAGCTAGCTTAGCTATATACACACCGGTGCACTAGCATTGTTCACTATAGTCACCCGGGTGCAACTAGCATCTGCATAATAAAAATGAAATTTTAAATGATATAAACAACTGAAAATCATAAAGAGATGGAAAGAAGCAACCTGAAGAGCTGTCCACAAAAATGTAATAAATCTATTTATCCATCTTTATAAATTATTACATAATAAATCATCATATATCTAAAAATCTGCATTCATGATTTATTTCACGTAACAAGAAGAACTGTATATCCTTTATAAACACATATATTAAAGAGACATAAGAGATCAATACAATCTGCCTCTAGTCAAAGTGATGTCATTGTGGATATGTCATATTTCTGTCTGTTCAGTCATATAAAGCTGTGAATCTGAGCTCACCGTGTTGTTCATTAGAATCAACCCAAACATCTCGTCACAGCAGAGAAGACAGTGTGATGACGGACGGACAGTTGACAGCAGCCAATCAGAGAACAGTCCCGTCACAGGATTGGCTCGGCTGCTGAAGCAATCACTCTAAAAGGAAACCTCTGCCGCGAAATATGTCTGTTTCAACTGTCTACAATGTATTGCATTGTGCTTCAGATTGCAAACAGAAACCAGCGCAGACCGGCTGAGGTGGTGATTTTCTAGCTGCTGTGGGGAATGCAAGAGTGACTACTGAATCTAAAGGTTTCTTTTAGTTTCGATTACCCACAACCTTATGCAGAGCCTCGTAGTTGTCATTGCCATTTCTGTGTACCACAGCTGTCAATTTCACTGTTAATGTCATAAGCTTCTTTCCCACATGCTTTGCAACATTGAAATGACATAGATAGGTAACTCAAAAAAACTAATGTATTACACATTACTAGTTACTTTTAAAAAGTGCGTTACTTTACTAAATGTATCACTGCTGAAAGTTACTTAGTTACTCTACACATTACATTACGTTTGGACTACTCTGTAAAATTACCTGAAAGATAACTATTACTATACCCAGATCAGCACAAATCCTTAAACTTATAATGACAATACTGAACCCAGACATCTGTTTTCTGCACTTAATTTGAACATCAGGGTTGTTTTCTTTAGCTCAGTTTCCATCTGTAACAATGTAAATCTCCCCTCTGTGGGACGAATAAAGGTTTTCTGATTCTTATCGTGACATGACACTGGTTCAAAAAGTGTTCCTGTTTGATAGCCGCCGCCGGCCCGTTACCTGTATCTTGCTCAATATGTTTCAGAACGATGGCGATTCCACCGTCGAAACAAGCAACATTTCCTCCACGATGTATTTTTTCTCGGTCTCCTCATCCATTTGATTTATTTTCTGTCCTCCCAAATGTCACCTGACAGTAACGCATTACTTTAAAGCGTGTTACCCCCAACACTAATAAGAACGCAAGCATTCAAATCTTTCAGATCAGATATTAAACAGACTTAAGCCTGCCAGCTAAATACTACAAATGTGTTAATAAAGCCGCTTATTTATCACAAGCGAGTGTTGGTGACGTCATTCAGAGCAGTCAGAGCAGACTGGGCTCTGGTTTCAGACAGAGGGTGAAAAGAGGTGCTGCAGCACAGGCAGTATGAGAAAAATAAAGAGCTTTTTGAACATTAAAGTATGTAAACATGTCACAGTAGAGACACAAAATACAAATTCAAATGTTGCTTTTTTTAAATGGATATTTGGCTTTTTAAAATAAGTCACTAGCTGTAGATAATACAAGGCAACAATACATAGTGATTGTGATGTAGACAAACAAATACATCCTAATCTAATCCCATTTCTTTGAGGGTTTAGTTGTGTATTGTAGAATGCTGATGTCATCCAGCCTCACTGTAAACATCCAGCACGAGGTGATGACTTCAGAGGATCCCTGAAAGGAGCCATATATAGAGACATAAACACACGTTGTCATAAATCCTGTCATCGTACCATGAGTCCCAAAGTGACTAAAGTTGAAACATTTCCAATGAGGAAGTAGAAGAAGACGTAATGTCTGTGATAGTTTGAAGAGCATTCAGTTTCTATCAGGGCGGCTTAAATGGGTGTGTGTATGTGTTGGCAGAAAAAAAATTGCACATTCTCACCGCAGGTGTGTACAGGTGTGTGTTTGTGTCACTGTTGTTCCCACGGCGCTTCACATAAACTCTCACTGAAAAGGTCAGGGGATTTGTTCAAGCTGATTTGTCAAATGTTGCAAAAATATTACCTGAAACTGTGTGAAACTGTTAAAAAAAAGTGAAATACCACAGTGCCAAAGCACTTTATTACATGTAAAAGTACATAAGTATTACCAGCAGTATGTATGTGGAGTATGTACTCCTACAGAATGATACATTATGGAGTCTCTGAGGTTTTTAAAAGATAAAGGTAATCTTATGCAAACAAGCTTTATCTTGTGCTACAAGATGAAAACCATATTTTCCAAGTCTTCAGGGCCTGTTTTGTTGCCTGGCAATTCATAACCTCACAATTTGTATTAGAGTGCATGAGGACATGTCTGCAGGAAAATAAAAAACGAAAGGCGTTTTTTATTGCCTTGCAGGAATGTGTGCAAGAGTGTTTATGTGCATCGTCAGCATTAGATATTAAGTTTCAGAATGTCTATCTGAGAGTGACTAAAACTCCAGTTCATCTCTTTCCGGCAGAAAGAACTTTAATTTCTGCCATTTTTGCAAAGTCATGAACATTTCTTAGCCCCAATATTTTCATAATCCTTTTAACAGTGTCTTTGGAAACAACTCTGGAGCCTAACAGTATTTAACACTTACATGTTTTTTGTATCCTTGGGGATAGTCATTTGACAGACTTTGTCCATTTGTAAAGTGAATGTAATAACAATGTAATTACGATATAATATGAGTGTCTTATTTATGTTACATGTATTATTGGTGTTACATGAGTGCAATATGGGTCTATTAAAGGTGTAATAAATGTGTAATAATAGTGTAACATGGGTGTAATAGGGGTGTATTAATGTGTAATATTGGTGTTACATAGTTGTAATATGGGTCTAATAACAGTGTAACATGGATGTAATAACAGTGTAATACGGGTGCAATGTAGAAAACAGCAATCAATTAATTTCCCAAAATATTAATAAATTGCCCATTTAAAGGTTAATGCATACATTAAAGTCACTTCACATTAACATTGTCCATTCAAACAATTTGGCACCTGTTCTATCAACCACACATCAGCCTAGTGTTAACAGATGTCACCCCTTCCATTTATTGAACTGCCTTGATATCTGCATTAACAAATATCTTCATGTGATTTTAACATGTTGGTTCATGTTCATAACATGTAGTGTGTCTCAGTTACTGCATTAATAAATATCTTCATGTGATTTTAACATGTTGGTTCATGTTCATAACATGTATTGTGTCTCAGTTATTGCCAAGTGGTCAGACATGACTGTGGATGAAGCCGGGTTAGAGTGTGTTAAAAGTTTAAGACCAGTCGAACAGATACTGTTAAACTTTTTGAGCTAGACAGATATCTGTTGTGAGATCTGCAGTCAAGATGGATTTGAAAAGCCTGGAAAGTTGATAAATCACATCAGTGTAATGTCTTGTGGAAACTAACAAAAGACTCAATAATCAGGTCAAACTAGTTCAGTTAATCTTTGTGTGACTTTCCTACTTTTAACCACAGGAAACTTAAACCTCTGCAAGTCATTACAACCTGTGTGAAGATGATCCAACAGTTTGCGTTATGTCACCATCTGGAAACTTCTACATTCGTTGCACGGAAAACTGCCAGTTTTCAATCAGCTGGCTGTCTCTGCAGCACACCAACAAAGTGTTTGTAAAATAGCACATTTAAGAAACCTGCACATGGAAGGAGACATTCCTGTGCTACCATTCAGGTTCATTGCAGAGCAGAGAGTTTAAGCAGAAGAGCAGTTGGAAGCTTGCAGGTATTATGTAATCTCAGGTGTGATATTTCCGCCCATGCACCTCTGATTCAACAATTGTTGCGCCTCATTTTTGAATATTCAAAAGTGATTTCACAAAGGATCAAAACTGCTTCAAAACACATGCACTGCGAGCTAAATCACATACTCAAAGTATACTTAACTGCCCTTGCAAAGTACATACTGTTGCCTGCACTTGTATTACTTTATCATAACATTGACCCTCTTGCTCAAAGATCCGCTGCTATACAGTGGATTGTGCCTCCAAAAGTGCATGCTAGCTAGCACCATTTGACTAGGTACATCCTG